AACACTTTGCAGCTTGGCAGGCTGTTTGCTGCTTTCACAACTGCTCTAATTTTGGTAAAGACCACATATAAGAAATTCGTAAGCTATTTATCTACTCATGTCATCTGTTTGAGGCTACCAATTAATATTTCCCTGCCTAGGAAGGATAAATTGATGTTCTTTAAAATCTTATGAAGTTCAATTCTCTAATGTGTAGCAATTTAGGAAAGGCACACTAAAATTCACAAGCAAAGCCTACAAGTGACCAGCCCATGTACATCTTGGTTGTGTCTGTTTTGTTGTTGGTAGAGTAGAAGAATGCAAGGTGTTCCCAAGCTTGGTCCTTGCTCTTAGATCCACTGTTAACTTTATAAGCAGTCTTGAATAAATCATCTGGTGTTTCTATGATGAATTTATCAAGTAAGATTACTAGCATATAAGCTAAGTTCTGTTTAAAATCATGTGAAGTAACATATAAATTAATACTAGTGACTAAATGCAATTGGAGGATGAAGCCAAGTGTCCCAGTGAAATAGATCATAGCCTGGGCCCTGCACCCTGAAATCTCTGGTTATGGACAACCAAGCAATCAATTTTCAAACAAATTTCATTGGCTCACAACTCCTAGCTATTTCTTGAGCCTCTTCTCTGTTAAATGTCACTGAATTTGATATCACTCCCAACTTGAAGTTTCCACCTCCCAGGGGAAGTACATGTAATTCCACTAAGGAACAGATATCACATGTTTTTCAATGGCACTATTTACATGATCAAAACCCTTTTGCTGCAGGAAGTTACTGAGGTTCACTCTCTTCTCTGCAGTTATCTAGCATTCCATAAGAATTAGGCGTGTGTGTCTGTGTGTGTGTCTGTGTGTGTTTGTGTGTGTGTGTGAGAGAGAGAGAAAGAGAGAGAGAGAGGGAGGGAGGGAGAAAGAGAGGGAGGGAGGGAGGGGTAGAGAGAGGAGTAATAGGGTAGGACTAAATGTGGGTATGGAAAAGAACAAAAGATAATAGAATTAAAAACTTAATATCTACCCTGGTTATCAATACTTTGTGTGTGTTTGTGCATTCAATATCTACCTACCAATAGGAGGGAGAGCACTGTCAGTTGTTTAAAGACCATCTCATTATCTGAAAACTCCTAAGCCTGTCCCAGTCTCACCCCATCATCTTGCAACTTCTTTGCCCTTGGGTTGGTGTTCTGAGCTTATGACGGTGGGATTAGGTAGCACGAGGGTATTACGGAGAGAGAAATCAGGATGCAAAGATTCTTTTGTCTATCGTGAGGAAGACAACTGGACTATAGGAGCAACGTGCAGCTCTGTGAGTATTTCTCAACTTCTGGGGAGTTTGAGGAGGATTTAACTGAAGGGCAATGGAGGGTTGATCTGAATCTAAAACAAACAAACAAAAAATGGAAGAAGAGAACATTCTGGACCTGTGAATCTCTACCGGGGCTGGGGCTGAAAATGGGAGAGAACATGAAGGAAATACACTGAAACCTCCTTGTACTGCTATGTGACAAGCTAATGGGTGAAACTTACAGGTCACTGCAAACCTTGATTACTGAATTCATTTGGAAGGAAACCAAAATGGACCCTCCTCTTTTTGAGGCTTCACAGCAAACAGTTTTCTGGGAAAGGAGGGATCTAGGCCATTAAAAGACCACAGAGCAAACAGTGCTTTACTCCCAGGGTGTGCTGGCCAACTCGGCCCAGGCACCAAGAGGCCCCTGTGAGAGTGTGAGGATAAGGAAATAGTGAGCAGAGTGGGCACCAAGGTTGACCGTGGTTGCAGCAGTGGCTTAGCCTTCTTCCTTTAAGGCTAAAGTGCTTGTTTGCTCCATTCTGAAGCAAAGTACTTGCTAGATTTTTTTTTAATATCTTTTGTTTGGGTCTTATTTGGTCCTCCAAATTATTTGCTTTTTTTCCTGCCTCAGCAGGATCCTGGGTGATATCAAAAGCCCAAACCCTGCAGTGGAGTAAATAGTATTGTCCCTTGTGCCTCCCTCTACACTCTTCTGTAGTCTATTAACAATGGAGTTGTCTCTCTGCCTACATCTCTGCTGAGAAAAGGGAACTGGGAATTGGGATGATAAAGCAGCATCAGAGGGTCTGTCTCAAGAACCTTCTGAAATTGCTTTTCTTTCACTGGAATTTGTGGAGGATCATCATCTATACCTTTAAACAGCTGAGCTTTGCTGTGTTGGGTCTAAAGGACCCCAACCCCAGCTCTCTTCTAAGCGAGCTCTTGTATCCACTTCTTTCTGTAGAACGTGTTTATAATGTTCAAAAGGAGAAGAGCTAATATTGAAGTAAAAACAGGGAAGTATTCTGCCTCACAAAGGAATGATGTGCTTGACACTTTTGGAGGTCAAAAACATGAAACCTCCTCGTTTAGCAAGAGTCGAGACTGTTGTTAGTTTTGAGATTATTCAGCTCCAGGATTCCCTTAGACATTTCAAGGGAAGATCTAAGTATTAGTAATCCCAAATCTAATATCAGTATTTAATACCTACTTACATTATCTCCCTTAATGTTCCCCATGACCTGAAAGGGAAGGTGTTATTTGATTCATTTTATAAATGGAATGAGGTCCAGAGAGGGATATGCAACTTGTCAAGGTCACATAACCAGTTTTTTTTTTTTTTAAAGAAGGAATTAAAACTGAATCTGTTTGATTTTAAAGGGCACAGTCTTCACACTGTATTATCCCAAAGGGTAATTTGACAGATCAAGGTCACCTTAAGTCTTCCTATTATCAAACTCTGGCTCTCAAGTAAGAGGATTCTAATTAGGGTCACCAGAAAACAATGTAATTCCCAGTTAAATTTGAATTCCAGATAAATAACAAATTATTTTCTTAGTATAATTATGAACATTGAAATACATGGGATACACTTTCATTAAAAACTAATTTGTTATTTGCCTGAAATTCAGATTTAACTTGGGTGCCTTATATTTTTATCTGTAAAACCTGGGCATCCTAATCCTAATAGGTTCTCCAGATGAAAGAAGGAAAACATATGGTTTCTTACTACTTTGAAAGAACTGAAGAGTCTAAAAATCTTGAGTCAGGAGAAGTTTTCTAGTTTTCCCTGTGGCTTTGGCAGAGTCAGGATGTGTCAATTGCTGGTGGTACTCTGAACGTAATGCTGTCCTTGGCCACCCACCACCGAATCCCATGGTCCCAACCACACTTGGGAGAGGCACAAACCTTGCCTGTTGACAGGGCTAGAGAGGACCCACAGCACAAGAGTGAGACTTGGTGATCAGAGGAGCTGGCAGTGCATGTCCTAAAGCCACTGAGGGCTTTGTGAGGTGAAGTCCATCTAGTGCCTTCCCTGTGGTCCAATGGAAAAGTCTCAGGTCAGGATGCGAACACCCAAGGTCTACTTCTTTATTAATTTATTCACTCACTTGACCAATACAATGTATATGGCACACTGCGGTGCATCTGGCTCTGTCATAGGTTCTGAGATGACAAAAATGTTCTCAAATTGAAAAGCAGCCTTATGAGGCCTACTTCAGCAGGAGATAAAGACGAGATTCATAGCATGAGCAAGTGATTTAGGTCCTTGACCGAATTCACCATCCTGGCACCAGCTCACAGATTAGTCAATGCATTTCTATTAAACAAATTGAGGGTGACAACAAATTGAGAAAATGACAACAGAAATTGAAAAAAGAAAACAAGGACAAAATGTCTTGGAGGCAAGGATAATAATTTAAACCTGATTTTCAAAGTCGTAAGTAGGGTAAATAGCGATGATTGGCTGGAGCCGAAGACTGTAAGGGAGAGCTGAGCTAAGAATGTTAGCATAAATCTGTGGCAGGCACAGTAAGGGATCCCATGCAAACAAAGTCCCCAAGCACTAGATTAGGGAAGGGGTTGGCTCAGGGTAAGAAGTTAAGGCTATTTGGAAGTTCTTTAGAGCTTTCCAGAATCTTTCTTCTCAGGATAAGTTTTGTTGATTATTGTGAAAGAAATAGAGAAAGAAAAAAAAAATGTCATTCTAAAGCTTAGCACCTTTTTTTAAAAAATTTGTCTTTATGGATACTTTTCTGTGATTTATATTTAAAGGACAGTGTCCATGTCTGTAACCAAATTAACCTGGGAACACCATACTGGACAGGTCTATGATATGGATAGGAGAAAATGTTGAAGATATCTGAGAATCATGGCTGAAGTACCTAATGTCTGGGTATGGAGTTAAAATGCAAGCTTATTACTTAATCGCCTGCATTAAGTTCACTATTTATGCCCATGTCTATTAGTTTCTCCTATCCAGATGGCTACACTGTCACCTCCCAGAACTAAGAGAAAAGTTTCTGGGTCACATGAGGATTAGATAAAATAAAGATATACAGGAACAGGGGCTGGGGTTGTGGCTCAGTAGTAGAGCACTCACCTAGCAGGTGCGAGGCACTGAGTTAGATCCGCAGCACCATATAAAATTAAATAAAATAAAGGTATTGTGTCCAACTATAACTAAAAAAATTTTAAAAATTATTTAAAGGAAGAGAGCTCATTAAATATAGACATTTAGAATCAGGTTATTTTATAGCTGGCAGGAAGAATTCATAAAGTTTGGAGCCCGTGAAAGCTGTAATAGGCTGCAATATGGTACATAGTCCATTTCCCTCCCTCGACAAATGAAGGGACTGGTGGTAGTGGAGGGCAAGTTCACCATTACGATGAATTCACATAGAACTTGAGCAGTTCATCTCTCGGAACAGCATATACCTACATTTTCGTGATTGTAAGTCTCTTGGTTGTCAGTTTACACATTGAATGCCTCCACTGAGTTGTACCATATTTTCTTTAAAATCTCTTTAAACTATAATCATTTCTCCCCCTTTGTGTTAATTTAGAATACTGAACTTCTTTTTCAAAGTGCTTGTCTTTCCTGGTTTAGACTGAATATCTAATAACAACCATTCTTGTTACTTAAACAGTCTTCTTTTTTTCTCTCTCATTGTCCAGAGAGCCCCACAGGGGAAACATCAGTCGACCAGGGGCAGTCAAAATGAGTGACAATACTACTTTGGCTCCTCCAGCGGCAAGCCAAGCTCCTGCCACCCCACGCAAAGGGCCTCCCAAGTTCAAGCAGAGACAGACTCGCCAATTCAAGAGCAAACCTCCTAAAAAGGGTGTGAAAGGGTAAGACCAAAAGGAAAAAGAAAGCCTACTGCTCCCACAAGACTACTCTGGTTTTGAGAAACTAATGCTCCTAATATTGAACAGACTTACACAAATTTCCACCCCACCCTCTGTTTTCCTGTCTAACTCAGGCTTTGCTGAGTCATGTCTTTAGTTTTGTAACTCTTCCCCTCCCAGTTCGCAGGTCCATGGCCAAACTTATCATGTGAAATGGAGCCTCTCAAAATAACCTTGGATTCGACCTTCCAGGATTTTCTTGACCACCCTTTGTTGACATTCCTTGTGCTTTAATACTGGAATACTGAACCACTGGTCGTTTCCAAAAAACACGATTTATTTTTATGTTTTACACTTTGATGTCTTCAGTTCTTTCTTTTCTCTCCCTCTCCTTGAAAAAATCCTGTCAACACACAGCTCAATTCAATACTCTATTCATATTGCTTTTGAACTCTGAAACTTTATCCTTACTTTCATGTTTGCTCTATGATTAGTATTTAGCTATCATAATTTGACTTTTCTTTCTTTCTTATTTTTTTTTGGTATAGCATTTATTAATTTACATCTGTTCCCCAAGGCTAAAATCCCTCAGAGGAAATTTGTTTATTGTTTTCCTTAACTTTCTGTGACTAACATGATGTTGGGCACATAGCAGATGCTAAGTTAATGCTTGTGAATGTGAACAGGCAGATGAATTGAATCTAAGGGTCTTTTGTAAGTAGTGCTCTCTAATTTCAGTTTCTATTTTACAAAGTGAAGCTTAAGTAAGTTGTCCTCTTAGTCATTCTTTCTGGTTTTCAAATGTCTTAGACTAAAGTTTCTAGAGAAGATAAAAAATCTCCCTCCAGAGATGCACTAAGTCCTACTGGAGTGACATTCACTTTGCTCCAGTTCAATGCGAATGAAAGAAATTTCTCAAATACAACCCTTAAGCTGCTTCTTCTTCTCCCTTGAGTCAAGAAATTGTCCATGTGCATGACTCCAGGATCCTTTTAATTGAACTCAGCTAAATGTTTCTTTTATTCTTTCCACTTAGGTTTGGAGATGACATTCCAGGCATGGAGGGACTAGGAACAGGTGAGCCACTCACATGTCTAAGTGAGAACCTTGCACTTAGAGTTTCTCCTCTTTACACACTTCAGGCCTCAAGGGGCAGTTGAGAGTTACAAGGAATACCTAAGGCAGCAGAACCTTCGAGGACATAGAAATGTGGGAATTTCATTTACCCCCCTAAGTAAATACATATGTGACCAGACACAAAAATCCTAAAAGAAATCAAGGAGACCCAAAGTTTAATGAATCCCCTTGTTTTATTAAAGAACCTTTGAAGGTATATAATGGGAAATTGTAGATTTTCATGGTAGAAAGATTCTCAGAGTTTGTCTAGCCCAACTTTACTTTTCAGGAGAGAAATCTGAGACAGAGGAATTGAGTGACAATGTGGGGCCACAGAGTGAGGTATTGGAAATAAGACAAACTTTCCACTCAACCAGGCAAACCACTCCTTAGCAACTTCCTCTTCTTGCACATCCTCTAGCACCAAGAACAGGACCCTGCATGCAGGAGGCATCCAATACAACTTTTTAAATTGGCTAGAATATTTTCACTCTCTGGATAATGATCGTAACTAATGTACCCCAGGAAGTGTATGCCATCCTATTTTAAAAAATTAATAGATTTTATTTCTTATAGAAATTTTAGATTTAGAGAAAAATCAAGTTGAAAGTCCAGAGACTTCTTCTATTCCACTTTCCTCTTTCCCCTCATGCACAGTTCCCCTATTGTTAGCATCTTGCAGTGTGACACGAGTGTTATAGTTGATGAGCCAATACTGATACATTATTATCATATTAATCAGAGTCTGGGGCTTACATAGCTTTGGGCTAATTCCTTGTATGATTTTAAGTGTTTTAATTAATACATAATAGTTGTGTACCCACCATTATTGTACCATAGTTTCACTGCCCTAAACAACCCCTGTGTTCCAACTGCTCATCTCTCTCTCCTTCCTCCCAAACTCCTGACAACCACAAATATTTTTATCTTACTTTTGCCTTTTCCAGGATGTCATATAGTTAGAATCTTACAGTATAAAGTTTTTACACACTGGCTTCTTTCACTTATCAATATTCGCTTAAGGTTCATCCATGGCTTTATGTGGCTTGACAGCTCATTTCTTTTTATTGTTGAATAATATTCCATTGTATGAACATACCACAGTTTATTTAGCCTATTGACGGACTTGATTTTTTCCAAGTGTACACAAGTCAAGCCATTGTCTATGTGCGCGTGCGCGCGTGCACGCGCACGCGCGCGCACACACACACACACACACATATATTTATATTTGTGTGCAGGTTTTTGTGTGAATATATGTTTTGAACTCATTCAACATGGTTGATAACTGGTGACACTCATAGAAATCAGTGTTCTTACCAGGAGATACTCAGTGTGTTTGCATTCTATATTCAGTGGCACTCCTGGGATCACAAATAGATTTTCTAGTCACTTTATAATGGTCATTTGTTGTTCTAGGTCAGTTGCTTCTGTATTTTGGCCAGATCAGCATATTTGCTTTGAGCTCTAGAAGACAGGCTTAAACTCCTGACACATTTGGAACAATGTAAACAGATTTATTCTGAAGGAAGATCTGAGGTCTTTGACCTGGTTCTAGTCCCATATATATAACTGGTTTTATTGATTGATTTCTAATTGTTTACTCTGGGTATAAGCCAGCTTCTTTGTAATGGGGGATAGTAATATCTGAAACAAGCAGCTGAATTAGATGATGCCTTGAGATTGCCTGTCAGTATGTGATTTGATATAGACGTTTCAAAATGTAGAGGAACTGAAGAGTGAGTCAGAGAAACACAAGGAACCCATTTGGGTAGGAGTAAGACCACTGATTCTCAGACCCCGGGGATTTACAGTGCTCCCAATTCCCTTTTTAATCTTTGACCTGACTAGAATTCCACTTCTGCTTTCTCCATGGTAGTTGAAGTTTAGGGAGACTCAGTGAGCCATACCCCACAGTGTACTCCAGTCAAGCCATTGTCACCTTCCCAAAGAGGATACAGAATGAAACCAACAGAGATACCAGGGCAGTGGGGACAGCAGAGGTGGGGACAATAATTGTGCAATTGATGGGATTCTTCCTGGGCTATAGGGCCAGTCTGGATAGCTTCCCAGTTGCCAGGGGGCGGAGGGAGGAGAGAGGTGTCTCTGCCTGAAGGGTATCCTTTGCGTGGAAGAGGCTCTCCTTCCTTGCGAGGAAGAGGCTCTCTTACACACACACACACACACACACACACACACACAGTGGATGAGGTTGGCTTACATATTCTTCTTTCATCTCTCGCAGATATCACGGTGATTTGTCCTTGGGAGGCGTTCAGCCACCTAGAACTGCATGAGCTTGCCCAGTTCGGGATTATCTAAAGCACCAGAGGTTCTGCCAACGCTCAACAATATCTGCTGTAAAATTGACTGCTTTTGCTCTATTGTTCTGACAGAGGCTTAAAATTCAGTATTTAGAAGGAGTTTCTTGGGCTTCTGTGGTCATTTTCCATCAGTTACCAAGAGTTCTCTTGGTGTCAGAATCTCTCTTGCAGCCCATAGCTCAGCTAGGAGTGTGATTGAAAACCTACTTTTGTTGGGTCATTTTAAACTTACCACCCTTTCTATCAACTGATTAGAAGTCATCAATACTTCTGTACATTTTGTTTTATGTGTAAGTTTCTCAAATCTAATTTGCTTGGCATTCATTGTAATTAGTAGTAGAATTTTAAGATAGCATGTCATTCTTCGCCCCTTCTTATTTAAGAAAGGAGACATTTACCTTGAATCTTATGGTGAAATTGTACTAAATACTGCATACAAATACTTGATGACCTGTTCTGAGAACCAATTAAACAAAGAAGGCACAGTCATGTGGAAATAGGTACATGGTGCTTGTGAAAGAGCACAAGATTAAGATTCAAGTCATAGTTCTGCTTTGTCAATTTCACTTTCTTGGTCTATATTTTATTGAATTAGGCTATCCTGAGGTCCCATGTAGCTGTGAATTGTATAATTCTACGATAGTTGAAGACTGGACACTTAAACTCACAACTCTGACAACATGAGTCTACTTTTTAGTGCTCTGTTTCGGGAAAGTTCCTATTTGTAGCCTCCCTTTGGTGGAATTATTCTGTCCAATGGCTTAAGGTGAGAGTCACAGCTTATTTGTATATTCATCGGCTGGATTTCTGTACATTTATAATAAATCACTTTTAAACCATTCGTTTAAAAGCTTTATGTGCTATAGACGCAAAGTACAGATAGTTGAACCCTCCAAATAAAATGAAGATTTGCTTCACCTCTAAGGTTGTGTCAAATGGAATGTGCACATAGTTATCTTTTCCCAATACTTTCAAGGCGCTTGTGCAATTTGAATACTGCCTCTGTCTGACTTGGATGCCTTGGTACTAACAGTATGGATTTCTTCATTTCAGTTTCATAATCTGTGGTTTAAAAAAAAAGAGTAAATTAACTGAAAAAAGAAGGGTGAAAGAGAAGATAGAGAGATTCTAGTCCTGAATCTACCAGTAAGTTGCACTGTAATTTTGGGCAAAGACTCCACCCTTTGGACTCTCCAGTTTGCTTGAATTTGATAAACTGAGGTTCACGGTAACAATAAATTCTGTGATTTTTTAGGGCCTCAGGATCTAAGCAAGAGAATTAGAGGGACTCAGTAGTCCAGAGAATTACTTTTGCTATTGATTTTATATTATTTATTTTACACAATTGACCAAAGGACTTATTGAGCAGAAAATTAGAAGTACAAAATAAAAAGGAAGATATAAATTAAAAAGTGGAACAATGACATGCGCAGAGGCATAGTGGCAAGTGTGCTTCCTCCTTCAGCAGGAACTCCTGCCTCCACCCAGGCACCTATTTTCTGTCCCTCCTGCAAAAGCTGACCCTACCCCTTCAAGTCAGCCGCGTTTCTTAGCCAATGACTTCAGTCACCACTTGTTCAACCCAGGCTGTCTCTTAGTCTAGAAGGTCTAGGTTCTTCTGTGGCTGGATGAGAGTCTGATCTGCATTTTGATTACTTTGAAAATGTTTTTCTAAATGTGAAACAATAATGTTGACAAAACAGCATGCACCCAAAGGAACATATCCATGCTTTTGTCTGATGTGGATGCTTTGATACCAACAGTATGAGTTCATTTCAATTTTGTAAGTATATCAGAAGTTAATTCATCACAAAATTTTAGAGTTTGGAGAATTTTAAAAAATCTTCAGACACCTTCCTGATAATACAAATCATTGAGGATTGCTTGTGAAAAGCATACAAAATTTGGGTCCAACTCAAGATTTTCCGTATAAAAATCTCCAAGGGAGGGATCTTAAAATCAACTATTATTAATAAGGGTCCCAGGTGATTCTTATATTTTGAAAACACAAGGAAGTCCTAGCCTACAATTTTGCACATTAGAAATTAGATAATTCTTATGTTGCTGCCTCTATTAGTCAATCAATTTGCTTCCCAATAAAATATGTGAGAAAAGTGGCTAACATTTCATGCATTCCAACTCGTAGACTGTTTTGTTGACTGATAACATGGAAATACCTCACGACTCCATGGTAACTCAGTTAAATGCCTCTTGCAGAGACTGTCAGAGAGTTTAGACTATAAGTATTGAATTGATAGTTTCAAGAACTATGGGGCCAAATGTGCACCACTATTGCCAATTACCTGCTGCTGTCTCACTCAGATACCCTCCCTCCAAAGCCCTGTTCTAAACTGCTTTCTTTGACTGGAGTAGGAGAGACCAGGGAGGGAGAGAGCTTTGGTCTGGGCAGGCGGAGCCAGGGGCCTGCCTTATCCTCCAAACCTTTCTTGTTTGTTGCTGTAGTTGGGTAAAAGTTGAGAATGAAGGTGCTTATGATTTAGGCACTTCTGCCCATTCTAGAACCCAGCAGCGCTAAAGTCAGACAGAAAAAATTATGCAAGGAGGAAATGTTCCTCTCAGTACTCCACCCTAGGCAAATATACACAGTGGTTCAAATAACGGTCACTGTGTGTTGACTTCTATTGTGAGGGAAGGAAGACTCCCATCAACTGACGAGAGAAGGGAGAGATATTTTCTTAACAACTAAAGGAGTGAATGGAACACACACACACACACACACACACACACACACACACACCACATACACATGTCCAGAGGAATAATCAGTAAAAACAGTATTTAATACCAGAGAAAATGGCAATTGCACATGACCAAACAAAAGAAAAACCAACACGATGAGAGCTAAGAAAATATGACATGAAATTGTCTTAAATGGAGAAACAGAAAAGGTTTTATGTTTTATTAAAGGCTAAAAGGCTTAAATGGAACATAAAACCTGGGTATGTGTATAAACTAACAAAGTGTTTCCTGCAGATCTAAATAAGTTGTTGCCCTACCATTTACCTTATGAGGGCATAGCTGGATTAGATGAAAACAGAAATTTAAAAGCAAGATTCATAAGCTGATTGTTAACATCAGTACACATTTTCTTTTGGCAAAAACCATCAGGAGATCAGGGTTCTGCCTGGCTCTGCTACAAAGTACTTAGTAAATAATCAGATAATTAATTTCCCTTCTTTGGGCTGAAATATTTTGAGAATAAAAATAGATCTTGGACTAAATGATCTCCAATGTTCCTTTCAGCATAAACTTATAAAACACAAGTAATAAGTCTAAATATATTTCAAATACAACCACACTGTTCTCTTTATGGACAGAAGTCCTAAAACACAGAGCCTCAATTTCCAGTTCCTTCCAGAATGAGTGTTTAATTGTTTTTTTCACATCTCTTCAAGACCCAGGGTAAAATAAAATTGTGTACAGTACTGCCACCTGCTGTAACGAAGGAGTACTTCAACACTTAGAAAGCTAACCATTTCAATCAGAAAACTTTTAAATCCTCAGAGCTAATTCTGAATTTGTCCCCATTTATTAGCCAATTAAGTCTGTTGTACTACTGATTGGCTATGGAAAGGTCTTCTATACACAGGATAAACATTAAGAGGCTATGAAATTGAACGTACTACAAAGTAAGTCTCACTTCCACCCAATGAACCGTGTAGTGTTTTGAAGTTATGATCATACAGAATTTATATATTTCTAGTTAGTAAATTTCTTGTTTTATTATTGGTTGTTCAAAACATTACAAAGCTCTTGACATATCATATTTCATACATTTGATTAAAGTGGGTTATGAACTCCCATTTTTACCCCGTATACAGATTGCAGAATCACATCGGTTACACATCCACGTTTTTACATAGTGCCATCCTAGTGACTGTTGTATTCTGCTACCTTTCCTATCCTCTACTATCCCCCTCCCTTCCCCTCCCATCTTCTCTCTCTACCCCATCTACTATAATTCACTTCTCTCCCTTGTTTTTTTTTCTGTTCCCCTCACATCCTCTTATATGTAATTTTGTATAACAATGAGGGTCTCCTTCCATTTCCATGCAATTTCCCTTCTGTCTCCCTTTCCCTCCCACCTCTCGTCCCTGTTTAATGCTAATCTTTTTCTCATGCTTTTCCTCCCTGCTCTGTTCTTAGTTGCTCTCATAGCAGCACAATTCACAATAGCTAGACTGTGGAACCAACCTAGATGCCCTTCAATAGATGAATGGATAAAAAAAATGTGGCATTTATACACAATGGAGTATTACTCAGCACTAAAAAATGACAAAATCATGGCATTTGCAGGGAAATGGATGGCACTAGAGCAGATTTTGCTAAGCGAAGCTAGCCAATCCCTAAAATACAAATGCTAAATGTCTTCTTTGATATAGTTAGTAAATTTCTATTAAATGTAACAGTATATTTTGTAATAGATTGCTATTTGCATATATTGAAGTTATAAAAATTTATAGGTTAGCTGCACTCTCAGCTGATTTAATGAGTTCTTAGATTATTTTAAATAATTTTTTATTTGTTAATGGGGGGTTTCCAGATACACTCTTATACATCACTTTCAAAATAAGCAGTAATTTTCCAAAAGAAAAAAAATTATGTATTTTTTATTTTCTGATACTCTAAATTGAGATCATTTCCTTGCCCTGAATGATATTATAATGAAAAGTGTGATATTCAGACATGGGAGGTAAAAGAATAGGCAAAAGAAGCAAATAGTACACTTTTATCACATTAATTCAATAAACCTTTCAGGTAATATTTCTGAGGCATATTATGGGTAAAAACCATAACTATAAAATATGGAAGCACTTGATAGATATTTGTTAAATGAATGAGTAAATTATATGATTGCAAGATTGGTATAAACCAATAGAGGTAATACACTATTAACAGAGTATATAAAAATCACCTGCTGATGTCAATTCATATAGAAGAAGCATTTGAAATAATTGAACATCTCCTCCTGATAAGAATTCTCAATGAATTTGCTGTAGAAGAATGTTTGCCAACATAATAAAGGCTGTATATGAAAAGCCAATAGTTAACATCACACTTAATGGTGAATAGTTAAAAACTTTTCCTCTAAGTTCAGGAACAAGACAAGTGATGGACACTATAATCACTTCTTTCCAAAATGCTACTGTAAGTTCTAGCTAGAGCAATTAAGCAAGAAAAAAATAAAATCAATAAAATAAAAGGCATTCAAATTGGAAAGAAAGGAGATAAAACTGTCTGTTTGTAGATGACATTGTGCTGCTATGAGAGCAACTAATAAAACTAAGTTTTATTAACTAAGATATTGTTAAAATATCCATACCCAAAGTGATCTCCAGATTCAATAAAATCCCTATCAGAATTCCAAAGTTATTTTTTGCAGAAGTGGAAAAAAATCATTCTAAAATTTGCATGAAATCACAGAGGACCTTGAATATCTATAGTAGTCTTGGAGAAAAAAGAACAAAGCTGAAGGCAGAACATTCACTGGGTTAAAAATATAAATCTACAATAATCAAAACACTATGGCTATATATATGTATGTATACAAACAGACACAAGAACAATGAAACAGAATAGAGAGGGCAGAAGGGTGAAATAACCACCTTGAGATTCATGACTACACATCTTTGGTCAACTAATCTTCAACAAAGGAGGCAAGAATTTGCCATGTGGAAAGAATACTCTTCCATAAATGGTGTTAGGAAAACTGGCTATGCACATGCAAAATAATGAATGGAATTGGAACATTATCTTATACCACATTCAAAAACCAACAAAGTGAGTTGAAGACTTCAGTAAGGTCTGAACTGATAAAACTCCTAGAAGAAAACAGGGGGAAAGCTCTTTGGCAGTGGCCTGGCAATGAATGGCTTTCTGGACATGATATCAAAAGCACAGGC